AGCAAATAATTAAGAAAATTAGCCAATTAAATGAAGCACGCTGGAAAAAAAAAATCAAAATCTAGATAAGTCATTTTTTTCTTATAATAAGTGCATTTGTTCTTGGATTGAGGAGATAAAAGAGACATTTTGCCACTGGAACAAGACAAGTTACATTTAAAATAAAACAGAATTGCATTGTGTTTTTTCAAGTGCATATTATCTAATTATCTTATTTTAAGAATAAAAATACTCATTCCATTGGCAGATCATCTCATTTACCTGCTCAACTCAAGGGTAAATAGACTTAATTTAAGAAATTTTTACTGGTTTCTAGATCATTTTTCCAGTGTATTTATGCTTAAAATGAAAGGAAAAGACTAAATTGTCTTATTTTAAGTACTTTGTATCTAATTATCTTACTTTAAGGCTAAAAATACTCCTTCCATTGGAAGATCATCCTGTTTACCTGATCGAATTAAGGGCAAATACACATTTAATAAGAAAGTTGTTCTCTTTTTAGATCAGTTTTTGAAGAAAAACAGTTTTTAAGGCTTTATTGTGCTTTAAGCCTTTTATTAGACCACATTTTGACAAGAAAGGAGGTGGAGAGAGAAGAGGAAGACTGGTAGCAAGCGACCTGAGAACCAACGCCTGCAGGTCTGCAGCCTTTCTGCTCATGAGGCGCCTGCTATACAGCACTGATAAAATAAACCGTTTTTATTTGAATAATTTAGGTGGACGATTTATGAAGTCTTAGGTCAAAATCCTTTTAAATAAGTTTGGTTTAAAAGGAGCCATTTTAAAGCTTTGATCTTCCACCAGCTGAAATAATCTGCTTCAGTGAATTATTAGTTTCAGCTCTTAGAATCTCTTCATCCTTCTCCTCCTGGAGGTCTGAGGATTAACCAGGAGGAGGATCAGACCCGGAAACTCTGTGTGTTGATAGGAATGTGTGGATAGAAAAGATCTCCATCCTTTGAACTGCATCGCCTGGGTTTTTAATCTATAATCTGGGGATATTTCCTTTAGCAAACAGCCAGTTCTAAAGTCTCTACTCCACAGCAAAGAAAGCAGGAAGCAGGAGCTACTGAGGGTCAATGCTGCTAGATTAGCAGATGAAGGCCGTCTTTTCAAGTTTCTTTTTTCCTGGGGTTATGATCCTGTAAACAACACCTCATGGGGTCATGTAGCCTCCTATTACTGGACCGTTACGTTCCAGCGGTGGGTAGGATTTAACCCTCCTAACCATCTCACACCGAGCGACCAGAGGAGGTCAAAGTTGAACGGTTTGAGTTGGAACGTTTTCACAGCTTCTCCTTCCAGCCCACAGACTGGCCTATGAGGTCGTCCAATTACGTTAAAAAACGCAGCCAAGCGTTGGTCTGAGCCGTCTGCCGTCAATGTCTGAGTTTTTTTCATTTAAAATGTCTCTTTTTAACTGGGCAAAATTAACAGCTTATGTTTTTGATACTTTAATAATTTTCTCTAGTTGTAAAAAAAAAGGTTTTCATTGTGTTTTTTAAAACTGAAAGGCAGAAAAAGTTTTCCAAATCCTCACTTCCCATTAGAATCAGCTGAAGATTAAACCGCTCTGTGTTTTCTTTTTTTTTTTGTTCATTTATTGTTTATTTGAAAGGGGACAGTGTACATTAATCAACATTAAACAACATTAAACAATGTAAATATACTAAGGAGCGCTAATTTTCATCGGTAGTCCCCCAGCCAGGTATAAAAAAGGCAACCTTAAAAATAAACACAAGTATAAAATCACAAGATAAAATTACAATATCAGTTACATAAAAAAACATTATGGTTAAGAAATACAATTCATGTAAAATAATTAAAAATTAATTGTAAAATTATTTAAATACACACAGAAAACCTTAGTGCCCACAAATGTGGCTCTCTACAGAACATTTTTTTGCATTCTTTTTGAATGAAAAGAATGACAAAGAGTCTCTGATGGTTTCTGGCTCTGTGTTCCATAGTGCTTTAATTCATTCCACACTAAAGATTTCATCTTATCCAGAACCAGTCCAACCAATCGGGTCCATCTGGTATCAAACCGGGGATCTGTCTGTCTCCGTCTGCCTCTGTGATAGTGCTGCATTAGACGTTAGGCTGCTGCCATGTTTCCATCAGCTCCATGTGGAATTACAGTCATCTGGAAATTCAACCTGGCTGCCGTCTAACCCTGGGCCCCCTCGGAAAACTCTGGAAATCCTTTACCAGAAGGTCCCAGGCTCTGTCACTCAGTGGGCCTGACCAGAACATTTTTGCCTTGTCATTTACTGCAAGTTTCAGTGAAGAAAGGGCGTTTAGTTTTTATTTAACTCTGGATGATCCAGAGGTTTATCAGTTTTATCTAAAAATGTTGAAGACTGGTGAAAACTGGTGAAGATTCTCAGTCATACAGGTCATAGTCAATCCAAAAAAAGTTAAAAAACAATCCACTGGACTTTGTTTCCAAGTTTGAAGACGTTTTGCTTCCCATCCAGGAAGCTTTTTCATTTCAAAATGTCAAAAAAGTGTTAGGTTTGAGGCTTTATAGAGTGGACCAGAAAAAAAAGCCTTGTTTTTGTTTTTTGAAAACATGCAAATTAAAACGGACAAACAGGTTCACCCCTTTGGAATGGGGGTCGTTTGGCTTCTTTTGTTAGCCTGCAATGCCCCATACCTGTCTATGTCTCTGAAAGGAGGGTCATTAAAGAAAATTGTTGGCCTGGCTATGACTAGTCCCACTGGATTGGCCATAGAGGCCACCTGGGGTGTCAATGGTCATTAGGGGGTTCTGAGGGGTCCTAAACTTTGTTGTCGGATTGGTTTCGGTCACGTGCCTCTTCGAAGTGTGAGTCAGCTGACGGAGGGTGAGAGGTGAATCTCCTGGGTATTGTTCCCAAAAGTGCGAGGGGAAAATTAGACGGGAAAACGTCTAGAAAACATTACGTCCACTTTACTAAACTGAACTTTTCAACTATGTTAATGTGCAAAAAAAGGAATCTAATCTATTTTTCATCACTAATATCTACAATTTTTTTTTGTCCTTTTAGATCCATAACATAGACTCACAGGGTTGCCGGTTCAAATACACAACAAAAAGTAGCATACAGTGGGGCCAAAAAGTATTTAGTCAGCCACTGATTCCTACTTCTTGGAATAATGAGAGGTCTGTAATTTTCATCATAGATACACTTCGACTAATGAAATAGAAAATGAGAAAAAAAATCCCGGAAATCACATTGTAGGATTTTTAAATAATTTATTTGTAAATTATGGTGGAAAATAAGGATTTGATCACCCACAAACCAGCAAGATGTCTCCTTCTTTAGCTCTTCTGTCCTCCACTCATCACCTGTATTATTGGTACCTGTTTGAATCCATTATCTGTATAAAGACCCCAGCATGACCACAGTCACACTCCAAACTCAACCAAGACCAAAGAGCTGTCGAAGGACACCAGGCTGGGTAGAGGGGATCTACAATAGACAAGCAGCTTGGTGTGAATTGTAATTGTACAATTGCAATTGTAAGAAAATGGAAGAAATACAAGAAAAACTTAATCTGTGTTTAATTTGCTTAAATTTTGTTTTTTGTGTTGAACACAACAAAAACAGGACACGGATATGATCTGCTCTTCCTTTTTTAAGCCAAGTTTTTTAACTTGGTGCCCCATCGTCTCCTTTTCAGTGTAACTCACTGTCTGTGTCTGATCCTTTTTTTATTAAGTTAAACTTAATGTTTAATGGCTAAATTTAGTTTTAATTAACCTATCTTTCAAACCATGTTTACACCATCCTTTAATTCATGTGAAGGGTCTCAGAATCATCCTGATGGCCGCAGTTTAGACGCTGGTGGCTTAAGGTGATAAAACCGCACTGAAAAAAAATCTAGAAATAAGTAAATATTTCTTAAATTAAGGGTATTTACCCATAATTTAAGTGGGTAATTGAGATAGTTTGCCAATGGAATGAGTATTTTTAATCTTAGAATAAGAGAATTAGATAAAATGCACTTGAAATAAGACAATGCAATTGTGTTATTTTAAGTGTAAATTGTCTTGTTCATTTGGCAAAATGTTTCTTTTACTTCCTCAATCCAAGAACAAATGCATTTATTTTAAGAAAAAATAACTTATCTAGATTTCAATTTTTTCCAGTGCGGGACAGGATATAGTGAGGACTACAGCAGTGTGCGTCTGCAGCCCATCTTTATTTTAATAAACGGGTGAATGCAGGTTTTATTCAGGGAAAATACTCGTGTGTCTCCAGCAGATTGGCAGACCATCCCAGCTGTCAGCTGTTGGTCTTATTAACATGTGGCGCTAACATTTACGCCATCTAGCGGCCGTTCAGGACATGTTCAGACTGGTTCATTACCCCTCCTTTACTGGTCTGCATAAGACCGAATTCTTTCTGTCGGCTGCTGATCGATGGAACTGTCTGTTTCATGCTCTCATCTATAACCGCCTAATATACTGAATCTAGTGTCTTTATTTAATTGGTTCTGATATTGCAGGGGTCAGATGTAAACTTAGCAGTTAGATGAGTCATCAGTGGAGGACAGCTGTGACTCAGCAGTTCTGGAAAATCGGGACTAGTCATGATGAGCTCTATCATTCCAATATCCAGCCCCAGTGTTAAGATGCAATTACTTCCTGGTTTGGTTTAGCCCCATATTGGTCTGTCAGAGTGTCCTCATGGCTCTGAAGCAAAGATTTAAATGATTTGAATAAAGATGTGTCTTTGTCACAAATGAGACACAATCAGCCTGTTTCTGGTTGCCATGGTGACATGATACTGACTTTGAGGATGATGTGATTTCAGGGTAGAGGGCACCCGGGATCTTCCGCTGCTCTTCAGGACCATAAGGACTTTCTTAGACAGAAGTGATGATCGGACCAGAACCTTTCAGCATTTCCAGGTTAGTGAAGACCCGGTCTGGGAGTTTACTCCTTCGTTATCTGTGATGTAGACTTTGAAAAGGCGAATATGTGAGGCTGGTAGAGGCGTCCTCCATCAACCTAACAGCTGCTGATCTGCAGATGTCAAGTTTCCTTCTCTGGTTCTACAGAACATTTTGGGCTGTTTTATTAGTGACACTTCTCTATATCATTTTGGTGAGAAATCTTGGTCCCATGAGAGAAACCAGATGTTCAATCAGGCAGTTGCAGTTGCACATCTGCTCTGATTGTTTATGCTTAAGAGGGTTTTATAGTAGAGACCTGCTCTAGGATGGGAACTACTAGACACTAGGGGTGTAAATCGCACCCATCATGGCGATTCGATTCAGTATCGATTTCCTGACTCAACGATTCTATTATTTTTGAAACT